TATATATTAAATCTTATATGATAAATCAATACAGTACCTAATTCCTTGGAATTTTGCATTGTAAAGAATTCAATATGGAACTGGTAAAGTGTCTTCAAGTTTCATGATTATGCATAAGTTTTTATGCCATCTCCAACATTACAAAATGCTAATGATGCTTTCTCCCATCAGAGGTTGTCACTGTTCTATCGTCTTTAGGGCCATTGCTTTATTAGTGCATACTTCTGTGAAATTATGAAATTTCCTATTCATTGACTCAAAGATAAACTATTTAACATATACTTTGGAAACTCTGCCCATTGTATAAGAAATATTTCAGTAGAAAATCTTCAGAAGAAAAAATAGTAACCTATAAAAGCAAATAGATTAAAATCTTAATAAATTGGGTTTTTGAAACACCAAGATCAATGACACACTCCATTCTTTACTTAAATATTGTCTATCTTTCTAATGAACTATTTCACTCAATCCTTAGTAAGAAAGATGGTGAAATATAATGATTTTATAAAAGAACTCTCTTCAGTGTAGAATTTTCTGATGATCTATCTATGTGCTTTCAAGTTAATAATGCATCAGGACTGCTCCTGCCCTTATTTATCTAGGATGTAAAAAAGTCATTGTAGCAGTACTGGTATCACACACAAATAAAAAAAATTGCAAATAAGAATCTATGGAATGTTTAATGCTGAAGTGCATTGGCCTTCAACTTTCAGAAAACATTAATGTGGTTAATATCCAGCGTCAAAGGCTGTTTCCTCATTTGCCACACTACACTGGAATACACTTATGTGTGCACCTATACATCCCACATTTTCTCTCTTTCAGCATTAAGTACAGAGGTATAGATTTATTTTTATGATTATAGAATTTGAAAGCATTTGTTTTTCACCCACAGGTTGCCCATCTGGAAGAAGTTTTTCTTATCCTATATCATTAATAAAAATTTTGCTGAAGTAGAGCTCCCTACCTAAGCTTACATCTGTAACTCCTTGTTGTAATGGGCAGCCTCGGCCCTGATAACAATACAACAAATAAAGTCAGTAGCAATTTACCAGCCTAAAATATATGCACCCCAAATCAATGCCACTTCACAGATAAACAAGCATTTTGCACACTAATAAATAATGCTATAAATCTTGCTATATTGGATTGCAAATAACTCCCACTGGATAAAATTGCTTGACACAGGGTTTCCTTATTCTGCACGTTCATAAAAACAACTTGTTTCTGACAGCACTCATTCTTGGCAATTTACCACAGCTGTCAGCAGCCAATTTGTTCAGATTACTGCTCTGCATAAAAGCACAACAATCATGAGGATTTATTAGCTGATTATCGTAAAGGTGGCAGTCCATCTTGCCTGCCAAAATGCAGGTGATCAGAAAGTTAAATAATTACATGCAGATTAACATTATTTCACCTTCACTTGAAATTTGTAGTTCAGTGACAGGTAGAATTTGTTGTTTAAACTTGCAGTGTAGTGTACACAACCCAAGTTGATTTACTGACTACTCGGCATTTTATTGAACACTTAATCTCTTTAGAACTTACTAAATATAAGACCAAGGTGAAAGGAGCATGGACTTTAAAGTCAGGAGTCCTGGTTCTGAGTCTCAGATCAACCAGTTTCAAAATAGCTAGGCACCTCTAAAACTTCATCTGCCTCACTCTTTGAATCTGAAAAATTGTTGTATGATTCACCCTGATTATCCCCTATGTTGAGCTAATGGATGTAATAGTGCCCTTTACATTGCAAAACATTATTATGATTGAAATGGTGAATTTAATTTTGTGTAAAATTTAACAACCAGATGGCATTAACTCCCAAGATACCATAATGATGAAAAAATTATGATATATGTACCTTGATAAATGTATAGGTTGCTTTTTTTTCCAAACAACAATTCAGTATTTTTTAAATATATAGATTACTAGGATACTTTCACACTTTAACTCATTAATTCTCCTCTTTTGAATTATATACAAATATATTTTCTCAATTACACTGAAATTTTGTACCTTCCACTAAGGCATGTTGTTCTAACTGCCTTTTCATTAACACGTGGTTTCAAATTATGTATTTATTTAGAGAAGAAAAAACCATAATTTCAAGTATTAAACCAAGTTTCAAATATTTAAAGTAAAGTCCTTCAAATATTTATTGAGTACCCATTATGTGCTGGGTACTTTCCTAGGCATCAAGGATGCCACAGTGGCCAAAACCCTCAAAACCCTCATGGAACATAAGCCACGTGGAGCATACATTCTAGTGATGTGGAATAAATGATAACATGGTATATAGAATGCACAGTATGTCTAGTGGTTTCCATTTTAAGTAGGGTTAATATGAATGCCTCCCTGACATGATGTTTGTGCACAGACTTCAAGAAGGTAAAGAAGGCAAGTGAACACTTGAAGAAGGAATCTTACAGGCTGAGGGAAGGGTCCTGAGGTGAGAGAGTGTCCAGCGCACTTGAGGGACAGTGAAGTGAAGAGACAAGAATAGCTAGACGAGGGGAAGGGACAGAATAGCGGAAGTTCAGGGCAGAGGGGTCACAGGGCCAGACCATGCAGAGCATTATAAACTACCGTAAGGACTTTGGTTTTATTCAGATTATCATGGGAAGGGGAGAGAAATTATTTTATTAATGTTATACAGAATGAAGGACAGGGAGCTATTGCTGTTGTCCACATGAAAGCTGGTGGTGGCTTCCACCAGGATCATAATGATTGAGATGGTGAGAGGAGTGAATTCTGATTATATTTTGAAGGAAAAGTTAGGTTGCTGATGCATTTAATGAAAGTGAGAGAAAGACATAAAATAAAAATGACTTCAAGATTTTTGGTATTAGCACCAAACTAGGGAGGGTCTTGAAGGAAGAACAGATTTGGGGGTGAGAATGGGGGTGAGAAGTTTGGCTTCAAACATGCTATATTGGAGAAGCCTATTAGACACTGAAGAGGAGATAACAAGTAGTCAGCTGAATGTGGGACTCTGAAGTTCAGAAGGGTTATGGAGTTATAACTTAGCTCCCCCAGTTATCTAGAGAAATATATCTGATCTCCAGATGAGCCATCTGTCCCTGTTCTCTTTAAATTTGCCAAAATATGGATAAAGCTGTAGAAATAAGGTGCAGTGAGATAAACAGGTCCACCTTCCTGCCAACCACTTAAGTAATATAATTAGGCATGTCCTTGAGGAATTCGTATTATAAAGGGAGGGAAAGATCAGTACTAAATGGGCTGAGAAGTTTTTATAATTTCCAAATTTGGAAATTATTTTCAAAGAAAGAATATGTAAAAAAATATCTGTCATAACAGGGAAAAAATAGAAAAAGGGTTAAGAAGGACTTCATGTAATATGGACTCAGAAATATAGAAAGCCAGTAAACTTTACTCATTGCTTCATTGTTTTACCAGTATAAGAAAGTTTAAATAAAAGTGTAAGATTGATGTAGCAAGTTACACATGACAGTCATCNTACTCATTGCTTCATTGTTTTACCAGTATAAGAAAGTTTAAATAAAAGTGATGTAGCAAGTTACACATGACAGTCATTCTAATTATCTTTTGGTCACGAAATATAGCTAATGCTGCTATAAATTATGAAAATGAATTAATTATTCAAGGAAAAGCTAGTTAGTATCTGCTTAAAAGAGCTCACAGAACATTGAGGGAGACAGAAACATAGACATACAGTTATAATGCAATGTATTTACTATTAACAGATGTACACTGCTACCTANAATTAATTATTCAAGGAAAAGCTAGTTAGTATCTGCTTAAAAGAGCTCACAGAACATTGAGGGAGACAGAAACATAGACATACAGTTATAATGCAATGTATTTACTATTAACAGATGTACACTGCTACTTAAACTGGTGGTTATCCTAAGAACAAGATAAGCTTTAAGAAAAATCTGAAAATAGCGTTTTACTCGAGGCAAAAAATATGCAACAAAGGCCTGACCTTTTTAAAGACTGAAATGTAACATACCATTAGGTTACAGTGATGTTTTTCTCATTTCACTTTATAAGTAAAATATTAAAGGTTAATGAAAGCTAACCTTTGACCTCTCACTTTATAATCCTACAAAGAAAACCATTGTTTAAAACATATGTATCAGAATAACAAAAAAATAGAGATAAATATGTTGGGTTGGAGCCTGTGCTTATTTTTCTAGAATAAAATTTCATTTATTAGTTTGTATGCAGATCTTCAGGCTATATGTTTAGACTTGGAATCATGTGAACTACAATGAAGAAAGAATTCTCTGAATTAACCATTTCTTCTGTACAGCATGCTTTATTTCAGTATTGGCAGGTTTCAATATGTTTTGCTACAAAGACACATATAAAACTATCAAGAAATATAAAAATAGGCTTTAAGGTGAGAAAACAATTCATGAAATCAAGCAGGCTTTCAAAATAATTGTCTTTGTGCCGAGATGTCATGTACGACTGAGCAATCCTTTCTTCACTGCATTATCAGATCAACATGGATCTGCCCCACTTAAGGCTTCCTTCCCTAAAACCTGGGAACTCTACAAATTTATGAACTCCTAGGAGATTATGAAGACTCTTTGCCTTGTAGGAAATTTTAGGAAACAATGCGTTTTATGGTCACAAAATGCTTTGGGAAAAGTAATATAATCTCAGGTCACTTTACAGACTATGAATATGTTCTTCCTTCAAGTATCTTATATCAAGTGAGATTCCTCTTTCTCAACTCCCATAACTTTTATGCACAATGTTTCTGACATCTGGGGAAAATTTTTGGATATCAAATTTGGATACCTTGTCCATCAACTGGTCAAAACTGCCACCTACTGGTCAGTCTTCAAACCTAGTTTTCAGTTCACCCAAGCACTGCCTTACCATGGTAAGATCCCTTCTTTCAAAACAGTCAAGATCATTTACAGTCACCAGACTTAAAGCAAATATTCTTTTAACAAAATTCCGCCTCTTAGGGTGAACTGAAAATATCAAATTGCACCAACCTGCCAATAAAATCATCTCTTTTCCCAGCATCTTTGTCCCATGCAGTGATATCAATAATTCCACCTCTTTCTTCATAGAGATGAAAATCAAATTGCTCTCTCCACTGAGGATTCAAAGTTTTGGGCATAATCTGCAAAACCAAAAAAGTTATTATTGTCTTTAAAAAAATTTAACTTGAGACATTAAATAAAAACTTAGGTACTATCTATAAAAGCATGTAAGTGTGAGATTTGAACAAAAACTTCCAGAAATAATGAAAATGACTCATTCAATCTCTAGCATCTTTACTGCATACTGCCTGAAAGAACCCTACAGGATATGTTCTGAAAACCAAAATCACCCTCTCATCATCTTGAATAACAGGCGAGAGATGTGTATTACATAGAAAAGGCAAAAACAGGCTATAAGTGAAATAGCTCAGACACTAGCATTTATTTTACATAACCAGCTAATGCACAGACATAACTGGTAGTCTGTTATCTCATAACAAAAGAAGATGAGGATTCCCAGGGTTTCTTTTTTTTCTTACTCCCTCACACATGGGAATTCCTGAGTACATTAAAGAAATAAAGTTCTGTGGGAGCAAGAGGAAAAAGCTAGTAACTTTGGGGTGGTCAGGTAAACTTATATCTTAGAATTATAGCATTGATGTGTCATCTCCATTTTATATATAGAAAAACTGAGACCTGGAGTTTAAGTGACCCATCCTTTAAGACACCTTATCTGAAGCACAGTTTTGTAATTCAAGTATTCAGATAAGACACCCGATAGAATCAATGGATAAAGTGACCCATACTGATTTGCTTGAAATTCCATTCCCTGTTGAGCTCAACACCAGTCGTATTTGTTTCTATATTCTTTTTAGCAGGAGGGCATGTAGTGGCCTTTTTTTTTTTTTTTTTTTTTCTGTGTGGGAGACAGATCTTCAGATGTAAAGACTTTGAAAGCACTGATGTATGTTATGTGCAAAAGGTAATGCAAATGAATCACAATTTTTAAAGTTCATAATCTGAAATTAACCAGCAATAGATCAAGGAAAGAAAGAGCAAAGAGAGACACGTGTCCATAGCTGGGTTTCATATTTCACGCCTAAAGAGCAGAACTATAAAAATAAGTAATGTTTTAAGCCAACCAGAACATGGAAATAATGTTAATTGGTAAAGGATAAGACAGAAGTGGTTATAGGTACCTATTTTTAGAATCAGTAGTTTCTTTAAAATATGTTATTAAGCCCATGGCCGAAAAAAGATGGCACTGGGTGGATGCTATGATAATTCAAATGTCTCATAACGGGGCTTGGATGAACTCCTACGATATTTGGGGGAATGGTCTGTCTTACTTATTTGGCCACAAAGTGCCTAACCTTTCAGTTTTCTTTTTTAGGATTGACCTTCAGGTCAGAAATGATGCCCTCCTCTCCCATGTGGGCACTCAGTACGGCAACTGATCAGTCCACTATCAGTTCTCACTGCCTACTAACAAGTCAGCTGGGTGATACCTCTAACAACCACCTCAGGCAACGATGGAAACTTCCTGGGCCAGAAGGAACCCACGCAGGCGGTTGATCAAAACTTCCTGAAAAGAGTGATGTCAAGGCCAAGATACTCCCATCAAGGTAGAATGCGATTTTTAATACGAGATGGACGTGATCAGTTGTCCCAAGCTGTCTATGAAGCTGATGTCGATGCAGCTGACCATTCAAGAGGTTGAATTTGAATACAAGACAGATAAGACATGTGCCCCGCATATAACTAGGACCTTTGCTAATTATTATTAGTCCTTTTAATAGTACAATAACAATGATTATTTAATATATTATCACTACTAATATCATTGTTATTACACAGTATCATTATTACTACTGCTACTACCGTTCACCGGGCGTTCATTGCGGGCAAGGCAGTATTCCAAACCCTGTCCATGTTGAGCATATTCATTCAGTCTGCTCAATAACTTTGTCAGGTAGGCATTATTTTAATGCTCATTTTTACAGATGGGGAAATTGGGGCCTGAAGAGGCAAAGGGACTTGCCTCGTGTCTCACTCTTAGGTTGGCAGCGGGAATTTGACTCTTTGTTTTCTAAGTAAATTTTAAAACAACTTTCGATCTACACTGGTGAAAATCAGCTTGAGTAAAATGGCTCAGAGTAATTTACACAGGTTTTTACCGCATGTAAAATCATGCACTTGTGGTAGGGTACTAGTGCTAGTTTTAAGAGCAACTGACACTCTTTGAGCACTTTATGTGCCAGGTGTTGACTTAGGTTTGTTGCAGTTTTTGTTTTTTAAAAGTTAGCTCCTCCTTTTATTTCTGTTATGAATAAAGAACTTGAGACATAGAGAAGTTCAAGAGTGAAAGAATGATGCTTAAACACAAAAACAAAGTTTTTCATTTCCAGAAACTAATAAAAAAAGATAATTCCTACTTTTATTCCTATGTTATGAAGAAATTGAGACGTCGAGAATTTAAGTAGTTTACCCAAGGTTACAGAGCACATAAAGTAAGAGATGCAATACAATTGTTGGCCTTGTTTGCTGACATGATGTTCAAAACAAGTTCTGTTAAGCATTTTCAAAAAGTAGTGTTTTTTTCTTTCAAAGCATGGCTATTAACTAACCACCACCTTCCAAATAGTGACAGGAACACAGAAGAGATATGTATGGTCACCTTGCTCTTGTACTTCTGATGCCCAAGCCGGAACTTCACGTAGGGGTCACTCAACCCGTTTGAATCCATCGCCTTGAGGTCTCGCCCCTCAATCAACGTGATACTGACTATTCCTCGCCAAAGATGTGATTTTCTGTGTACATCGGACAGACGTAAACTTTGGGTCTGAAACTTTTGGCAAAAGAAAACAGAGTTAGCTGATTGTGTTTTAAACCAAAATACCTCATTTGGCGTTACCTTTTCCGACATTGTTACTTAAAAAAAATAATAATTAGGCAGTTATAGTTTTTAAAAATAAAAACAATTTATGTATTATTTATTAATTATATAATTATTAATAAATATGAAATTATCATCTCAAGATAAATTTAAGGTTGCTTAAAAAAGGCGAGTGTTCAAAATAAAGTCTAATTTTTCAACTCTTAAAATTACAAAGCTGTAGATACTTCAAGAATACCAGAAAACATTTGCATGTATCAAATATGCCTGTGTCAAAATTAGCAAAAAATAAATATAAACATGAAAGTCCTCATCCATACTATGATTTTAAATTTTTAATTACTTATGGATTTTTGAAAATATTTTTTTCATGGTACAAATGGACTTTACAGGTGGTTTTTATTTCTAAGGTTAGCTGTAAGTTTTATTCACTTTTTAAAAGTCTTTATTGCCATATTAAAAGTTTCAGCTCACTAATGAAGCATTTGAGGTACCATAGAAAGGAAAATAAAATCAATCTGTCCACCCAAAATGTCTTGCTTATGATTGAAACTTGAATTACAAATTTTAAAAATTACATGGGTGACTTATTTTGGCAGGTACAGTATGTTTCTGGATTTATTTTTCATTCTAGTATTTAAACACTTTTTTAATGATTTTTATTATGCTCAGTTTTAAGTCACAATATTCAAGTCAGTGAACCCAATCTGAATTTCTGAAAATTAACAAGTCTACTAAAAATGTCCACATAATCTCTTTGAACTAAATAGCACATAAAACAAGCCAGAGAAAGTGGTTAATATGTGAAAATATTTACTATCTGGATTCAGTAACAGAGAAACTGTTGTTTCTTTCATATTATCAGGTATGTTTTCTTCACTTACAGTCATTTCATGAAAAATTTCAACATTTCTCTCAACTTCAAATTATTCCACTTCTAAATTATGAAGTTGCTCCACTTTTGGCCTAATTTCTTCTATGTTAATATTATAACGTTATAGCCTATTTTGTATAATTCCCCCTCCTACTTTGAATTCCTACTTTTATTCACCATAGTAAGGCCAGACATTTTTATCTGTCATCATCATGCGTCAAGCATTTCAGGGTGCTGTCACTGGGAAAATGAAACCTGCATTTTTCAAAAGGCAACACTTTTAATATTTGAGCATTTCAATGGAACTCTTTCTAAATCGTATTACATATTTCCCTACCTTGGTGATCAGCAAATTTTGAACAACATTGCCTGACAGTTCTGCCTTATTAATAGCAAGGTGGGACTTGGCCTCCACAGTCCTCACNCGGTTCTGCCTTATTAATAGCAAGGTGGAACTTGGCCTCCACAGTCCTCATCTCTGTGAGCTCCAAGAGCAGTGTTCAACTGCATCCTTAAGTGCAACGGAGGTTTCATGGGGCACCTGTAATTTCCACAGGACTCCAAACCCCACTTCAGCTAGAGCCCCTCTGCTCCCATCTATTTTACACATTGGATTTCCACATTGGATTTTCTTCGAACCAAGGATTTCTCAGATTAAAATAATTATTTAGACTTTATTGCACCAAGTGATCTTCAAGGGTTTTTTTTAGTTCTAATATTTCATACTACTTATTATTATATAATGCAGCAATAGATTTCAGCATCTGTCTATCCACCAATCCACTTCTGCGATTGAGGCTGCCTCTAACTGTAGACTTTAGATATCAGGTTCTAACCTTTGGGTCTGAAACTTTTGTTAAGGAGTATGAATGGCAAAGACAGAAAGAAGGAAAACAGCCTTTTGGCAAGTAAGAATAAATAGTTATCTTAGTGAAGACCAAGGAATTCATAACTACCCGTTTATGTAGAGCTCTAGAATGTAAAAGTGCGTACGTGCACATTGTTTCATGTGGTTTCCACTATAACCCTGTGAGGCAGGAAGGCAGGGGCTGCTATTCCCATTTCCCTGATGAGGAATTTGATGTAGGAGAAGTTGACTTATGGGGCGGGAAGGACAAAGAATACTTTCCATGGGATCCGTCATGCTTTCCTAGAAATAAATGCTTTGGCTAGTAACTAGTGGATATGACTAGAACCCAGGATTTATTTCTGGCCTTTATTCCTGAGCTTATTGGTCTTTAGGTCAGAGATTCTCTCCTAGGTTTAAATGTAATCATTTAAGTATAATGTTGCTAAAACTCCACTCTCCTGTAAAATGAGTTGAATATATTTGAAATTCCAGGCTAGATTTTCCTACATGGCTAATACATGAAATCACCTTCTACTTTATTATTATATGAGCACATGTATTCATACTTACAATACTCCAGATTGCTGGTGGGTATGTTTAATGGCATTTTCTATGCACGCTAGAAGCAGAAGTCACACAGAGCACTCAGTAACGTAACAGTGAGTACCATCTAGGTTGCACAGCACCTCCAATCGGCAAGGCTAGGCTAGGATCTTGACGGTATCGTGTCGGAAATCCTTACCTGCCTCCTCCTCCCATTTTTCACATGCGAAAAAGAACTTGACTTATGGGGTGGGAAGGACAAAGAATGATTTCCATGGGATCCTTCATGCTTTCACAGAAAAGGGAGGCACTTAATGAAGGCTTTACCTACTATCATTAGTTGTTACAAAATGCTTCTAAATGTACTGGTTAGGAAAGCATATTAGTCTGGATATGTGGCGTAGTTAAAGAGAGAAGTAGTGGCCTACTGAAAAATTGGGTGAATTTTGTTTATTATTTCCTTCCTTGGTTAATGTTTTTATTCTCATAAAATATATCTAAATAATACATATTAATTGAAATATTGATCAGTCAACCAAAAATTACTTATTGAGCGACTAAAGGGCAAAGAGTGTTAAACAAATATAAGATACTATACCCCTCAATAAAATGAAAATATCAGAGCTGGTACTTAGTTACCTAAGGTAATGTTTTCAACTATGTCCTTGTGGAAATAGAATTCTATTTGAGGAGGGAAAGAAAAATCAGAAAAGAATAAAATGGAAAACCACCCAGCTTCAAAGCAAAGAACCAGCTTTGCAAAAGGAAGAAATAATCTTAAAACTTTTAAGGCAATAGTTCCCAAGTTTTAGTGGGCAATTTATTGAAATCACTGGCCTTGACCCTCCAGGACACGAATCAGTTTCTGCGGAGGAGAGCCACATGTATATTTCCAACATGTGACCCGTATGATTCTCACGTACAGCAGTGTGACCTCCTCTCTCAAAAAGAATATGCATCCAAGTTCAGATTTAATAAAGAATATCAAGATACCAGGTAACAATATACATTTCAAAGTCTGAGGCAATGAGTCAATGATATTTATCTTTAGTAAGATGTTAAAATTAGTGAGCCGGCGCTTAAAAGAAATATTAGTTTATCTATATTATTCCTTGAAGAAATATGAGATTTCAGTTCCTTATTATGTGTATAAAAGAGGTAAGGTTAAAGAATGGGTTTTTAGAACAGTGAGTCAGCCATAAGAATTCACAGCTCATGCAAGGTCAGAAAATAAATAAACTGAGTGGTTGAACTTACTTGTGCGTTTTGGTAATAAGCACTCTGCAGCTCTGCTCTGCAGAAGCCCAGGACAGGGAAAGCAGGCCTGCTGCACGTCTGGATGGAAATGAACGATCAGAGCTGTATGTATGGGGAAGCTTTGTGCCACTATCAACACCTCGTTTCAATCGGAGCTTAGCATTACTCTTTAAAAAACATTGTTTGAAAAAATATGTATTTGCTTCTTAAATCACTGTCAGAAAATGTCTTCCAACAAAATGAAGATAAATGCCAATGCAATGATATAGTTTCCAGCCACTATTTTCTTTAGGAGCAAAATGCTGCAGTGGTCAAGAAAACAAAGGACAGAGATTACATGGTGATGCAACCCACTTGAGTGTTTTCTGGTTTTCGTTAATAGGCATAGCAGAAAAGGAAACAGCAAAAGAAATCATGGAGATAATCATTTTCTCAAGTTTGTTGCTTCAAAAATTTTTGGAGACTGTTTCTAATAATAATTTTTGTTTCCAATGTCAAAAAAAGCGATAAGGGGGTGGATGGAGGTGGAGAGGGGGTACACGGGGATTAATGGTAGTGAGAAAAAAAAGAATGAACATAATATATGTTTTATATATATATATATACATTTATATATGTGATAAGGCTCCATAAAAATAAATGTTACATGAACAGAAAAAAACTGTGCCCATATTAATTGCATTCCACATGTTAATGTTTTGTAATGATTAAAGAGATATCTCTAAAATAACAGAAATTTTGTTCCACATAACACTTGTCTTTGCTGACTTTGCTGCTAAAAAAGCAACCCAAAGGTCCCTTTACTGCTATAATCAAGAGCAGCAAGAGATTGATTAAGAAAGATACAGCCGAACTAGAAATACTGGAAAGAAATTATGGTGGAGCAAAAAGTTTGTATTAAATGACTTCTCGAGCAGCTAGGCAGTTTCCCAACAATGGTATCATGAGATAAGACTCATCAGCTTCAATAACACCAACGGAGAGGATAAGATTAGGCCCATTGGAAAGACAGATTAGATCATACAGAAAGAAATAAACTTGTATTGAGTACCTATTATGTGCTGGAGTTTTCATACTCCAGTGTTTTTCATGACAACTACTTTTAAGGTAATGGAATTGAGGCACAGAGAAGCTAAATATCCTACTAAAGTCACATGGCTAGAGATGGGCAAAGCTGAAATCTGAATTTGGAGTTGCTGATAATTAATTGACAATTTTCCCCACTATATCTCATTTTTTGGACAGAGCCTAAGTTCATGGTTCAAAAGAAATAAGTTAATTTGTACAGGATTTGTTGAAATATTTTGATTTACATTTAGAGAAAATATATTCTTGGGCATCGAGTATTGAAAAAGGCTAATCAGGGGCTTAGAAAAAGTAAAAGCCAGGAGGTAGTAATACCTGGAGCATATATTGTTCAGTAAAAGA